TCTTCTTTAATTTAATGTGCTTCTTGCTGCTTATCTGGCAGTCCCAAAACTGATTTTGGACAGGATAACGGTCTAATTGATTTACAGCAAAAGAAAGAGAGCTTTGGTGATAACCAAGCAAATATTTAATCACCATAATATTAATTTCTTGCTTGAAATTAAAGGAAAAGTTAAACAAAAATTGGCCAAAAGCCTACATTTTAAAACTGAGTGGCAGGTGCAACTTTCAGACTCCACTGACCTTCATCTCAACTCTCACAGAATCGCACATGCAGATTTCATAAGCAGCGAAAGATACATCTGTGCTGCCTTCAAAAACAATCTGATGACGGTATCTCGGTAGACAGGATGTGACACGATCATTGGATTCAGATGTTCATTGTTGCCTTCCTTCCTCCGTATGCTCCCTGCGGTGGCAGCATTTTTCAGCTTTTGGAAGCAGCCTGAATTAATGTTAAAGTCTCACCTAGTGCAAACTGTAGCAAAAGTCCCCAGTCTAAATCTTTCTCTGTTTTGAAATGAAATGGAAAAAATAAGATTTATTTCTTTGGGGAACAGAAAACAGGCAATGACATGTTTTTGTGTGTATAAAAGTAAAAATATGCAGAGTTAAGCTGACCATGACCGCTGGGCTGTCAGAAAATGGTTTATGATTAAATTTAATAACCAGAGAACGCCTTCCTCCGATTCTGCCAGCCGGTTGTGTGTGCGTACATAATTTTGAGCACTCAAGGTGGCTAAGCGGTAAATATGTGTGTACCAGGTGAGGTTAATCTCTTGTCCAGTGCAGGATAGAGGCTGCCAGCATAAATCTCATTCAAATACTTACACAACATTTGCAGGTGGATCTTTCTGCCTCAGTAGGCAGCATTTTAAGGCATTGTAAGGGTGCTTAAAAGTTTGGAGTCAGTAAGATTTGTAAGAAATTAATACGTTTTTTTTTCAGCAAGTATTAAATTAATCAAAAGTGACAGCATAAACATTTAGAATGTTACAAAAGATTTAATTTATTTCAAATAAATGCAGTTTTTTAACTTTCTGTTCATAAAAGAATCCTGAAAAACAACATTTCAACATTGATAATACATTAAAAATGTTTCTTGACCACCAAATCATCATATTAGAATGATAGAATGATTACATGAAGGATCATGTGACACTGAAAACTCAACCAATGGCTGCTGAAAATTCAGCTTTTAATATTAAAAAAATATTAAAACAGAAAACAGCCATTTTAAATTGTTATAATATTTCACAATATTACTGTATTTTTGCTATATATACACATATAGCTAATATAGAGCAAATTAGGTAAAACTACATTTTAATCAATTATTAATGACCAATATTTGTTTTTGCTGTGCATTTTTATTAGACTATTGCATTGTTAGCTTAGCTGTATTACAATAAGCTGTGTCAAAATGACACAATGGCATCTTTTTGCTAAGTAGCCTATTATTAACAAAGGCCAGTATTTTTGATAGCAATACTGCTACTGATGTCTCTATTAAATGTATTTTCACCTCAATTTTAGTCATTATAGCCATTCATCATTACAGTATAATTGAACGCCATTATTTTTAACATTAGGGTTAGGCTTAAAGGCTTTGAAAATATAAGTTTAGCTCCAACCCTAATTGAACACACCTGCCTGTAGCTTTCTGGTGATCTTGAAGACATTGATTAGCTTGTTCAGGTATGTTTGAGTAGGGTTGGAGCTAAACTCTGCAGGACAGTGGCCCTCCAGGACCGAAGTTGCCCAACCCTGCTTTACGGTCATTAAGGACTTTACAATTCACTTTATAACCATGTTTACGAGGTCACTAACCAAAACTGCACATTTTGACATAATTGTATGTGTGTTTTTGTCCATTGAAGTGCTACTGTGGCAGCTCAGCAGAACGTGCAGCCTTTCAAACTATACTGCATTTGATAATCATCTTTGTCCAGTGTCTGCGCTATTTCTTGCCTGAAGTTAAGACCGTTAACACTGCCTTTATACTCGTTTAAACTAGAGTTGTGGATATCACACAAGCACTTGTCAATGCTGCCGTCCATTGGTGTTGTGGTCTCCGGTAGATTGTTATTGTTGTTGCTTCTCTTCCCTTTCTTTTTTGGCTGTAAAAAAACGGCCCGGGCCAGTGTTGCCACCTTGTGGACAAACTAATTAGTGCAAAAACAATTCAAGGCGTATGTGCGATCTGCGCGTGCGTACTCTTCCCTTGGGCCGGATGAACATGATTGGTGGGCCGGATTGGGCCCGCGGGCTGCCAATTGAATACCCCTAGTTTAGGTAGTTTATAGTGTGGCAACTCGGCCACTGCGGCTATAAAGGAAATACCAATATCACATATCTGATTGTGTTGTATTAATGTGGAACGATATGTTAATACTCAGAACCGTGTTTGACACATAAACTAAAAGTGTCTCCACAGCCCTCCAAATTAGATTCTAATTTGTGTGCTTATGAAATAAAATGGCTTTTAGCTGTGCCCGGAATAATCTTGGGATTCTGGGTTAAGTCATTATGTCACTCCAAGAGACTGTGGGTTTGTGATGATTAAAGGACAGTTGACTGCATCACACACACACACACTTTTCACCTTCCATGGCTGTAATACATCATCCTAATGAACTTGTGTAGCCAGGGCATGCAATACTTGATTAATCCACAGTCGTTATATCCAGTCTGCCGAGGACATCAGGAGGGAAGAGCATCCAGAGCCTCTCAGCTCAACTCTCCATTAATCTACTGCATAACTGGCCTGAATAAAACACCAGTCAGTACACACAGACACAAAGAGCTTTGGAACTTTGTTCCCACACTTTTATTGTTACAGTTTTTAGAGAGAATTCCAAAACTGAACCATCATGTGTAAAACAAAATGAATTCACTATTAAAAGTGGATGAAATAATACAGTACCCAGAAGAGCAGAGTATAATAGGCAAGTTATAAAAATAGTTCTGGTTCTGGATGCTGGTTGGCCAATACTGTGTTCCTGCCAATATAAAATACACAAGATATAAGTCATCATTATTTTTTAGATCCGTTTTCCCATAAGACAGATATTGTACATTTTAAATATGTATATTTCCTAAAGGTCAATTGTATATATGATCTCAAAGTTAGATTTAAATGTAAGAAAATAACTTTTTAATGAAAATGTCATTATTAGTGACATAGTACAGAAACAGCTCTTGTTAAGGTTATAAATGATTTTCTCCTAGCTGCTGATTCTGGTCTTCTGTCTATTCTTATTCTGTTAGATATTAGTGCTGCCTTTGATACTTCATAATTTGGCACCTCATTATCTTTCAGACCCTGTCCATTTGTACACTCCTTTGCGCTCTTTGAGATCATCTTCTGCACATTTATTGTCTGTTCCAAACTTCAGGATGAGTTCCTTTGGTGGTAGGGCTTTTAGTTGTGCAGTGCCGAAGCTTTGGAACTCTTTACCTTTGCACATTCGCCAGCTGGATTCAATTTCCCATTTTAAAGCTCAGATAAAAACTTATTTCTTTAGAATTGCTTTTAATGATTTGCTTGTTTAATGTGTTGTTATAATGCTTGCTTTTTATGTTTTGTTTTATTGTACGGTGTCCTTGAGTGTCTTGAAAGGCACCTATAAATAAAAGGGATTCAAAGCACTTCATAATTTGGCACCTCATTATCTTTCAGACCCTGTCCATTTGTACACTCCTTTGCGCTCTTTGAGATCATCTTCTGCACATTTATTGTCTGTTCCAAACTTCAGGATGAGTTTCTTTGGTGGTAGGGCTTTTAGTTGTGCAGCGCCGAAGCTTTGGAACTCTTTACCTTTGCACATTCGCCAGCTGGATTCAATTTCCCATTTTAAAGCTCAGATAAAAACTTATTTCTTTAGAATTGCTTTTAATGATTTGCTTGTTTAATGTGTTGTTATAATGCTTGCTTTTTATGTTTTGTTTTATTGTACGGTGTCCTTGAGTGTCTTGAAAGGCGCCTATAAATAAAAGGTATTATTATTATTATTACTATCAATAATAATAATAATTGCATTGTTTTATCATTGAAGATTTTATAATTTTATTATAAAGATTTTACAAAGTACTTAAAAAGATATAATTTAAGAATGTAAAAGATCCTTTAATACGTTTGAGGGAATATGCCATATGCATACATTTTCAGGTAGTTTTGACTGTTGAAAAACAACAACAAAGTTTAAAGTTAAGATGGTGGGATAGGCTGAAGTCTTGTGTTGCACATTCCTTCTTCCAGGAAAGGGGGTATTAAAATGATAGATTGTTGATTTTTTTTTGTGTGTTTTCAAAAGGTCACTTAGTGTGAGCCTGTTTCTCTTTATATATTTGTATTTATAATGGCTTCCTTTGAAAATGTCTTAATAGTCATTTACTGTTGTGACAGTAATTTGCCCTCAAGTTTATAAGCTGTCTTAATTGACATAAATGATTGTCATTAGGCAGGGGAATGTCTCAATTTGACTAACGGGCAGCGGAGTGCAGAAGTGACCTCTTTAAGACTGCAGTGGGGGCTTATGAACTGTGCCTTTTTATTTACTGATCCCTGGGGAGGGGGAAAGTAAGTGTGTGTGTGTGTGTGTGTGTGTGTGTAAGTCATAGTTTGTACAATCATTTGTGTTTACCAATGCCTATGAGAGGGTTCAGAATTTGCTCCGTCCCCAGGAAGTGTTGATAAAACTGGCTGGCCAGAAAGCTTGTGTAAATTATTACATTCCAGTTTAGGCTTGTAAGGCTATTTTTACCCTCCCAGCCCTGTTCTGAACTCCACCTCCACTCTCTCTCCTTCTTCCTGAACAGGAAAGACTGGTTTACGTGCAGCCAGAAAACCAGTTTCTCCGTCACTTTTGTCACATAGGGAGATGGGTGTTATCATTCATAATTAGCTCAAACTGTTAGTATTCTCTAAATTATCATGTTTATTGGATCGTGTTTAAGGTTGTCTGTTTGAAGACATGTAAAATGTTCTGTTCCCACCCAGTGTGCACTGGGACATTCCACTTCCCAAAAATCCCCTAGACTCATACCACAGAGGTTGTTCGGTAGCACACTTCCTGTGTCTGTTTGTGTATGTCTAGAGAACACAATTAGACTATCTCATCATGTGAAAATAATCCACAAATCCCAAACAATCTGAACAAACTAAACTGACTACAAACTAAAATTTCTCTGCAGAGCTTGGATGAGCTTGATGACGATGACGGAGAAGAGAAGGAGAGGAAGATGGAAGAAAGTCTTACGCAGCACAACACGGTCCAGAACGAGGCGATGACCTCTGACCCCGGAGCGGCCCACTCGATACAGGTGAGAGAGTGTTTGTTTTAGTAATGTCAGAGGATAATCCTGCCTCTAGAGGATGTAGAGTGCAGTCACCGTTCTGCCTTACAGAGGCAGTGTTGACCAAAGAAACAAACAGAAAGCAGGGCAGTCGACACTCATTCTGCCTCAAGCCACAATACAAAGCAAGATAATAACTCTTGACACTAGACATGACTGTGTTTTGTCTTTTATTTACCTTGTGTTACCACCTGTCTAGAGAGGAAACGTGACCCAGGATCACATCAGCATCATCTTTTTGACTTTTTATTTTGGAGTTTTAAAACGGAACTTCAGGGATGCTCAGGCCACGACAACATGCCAAACAAATTAACAAAAACAAAAGCTTAACAAAAAATGTAATTGCCTAAGAGAAATAAAACACAATAGTAAAATACTACCCTTATTGCTTTTCATGTGTGAATTAACTGTGTAATTTACAATATTAACAATGAATACATATCAAGTTCAATATATATATATATATATATATATATATATACAGTGGGTACGGAAAGTATTCAGACCCCCTTAAATTTTTCACTCTTTGTTATATTGCAGGTGTGTGTGCGTGTGTGTGTGTGTGTGTGTGTGTGTGTGTGAAAACTTAAAACATGAAAATGAAATATTTTAAACAAAGTTTGGGGAACGTGTAAGAAATTAATACTTTTATTCAGAAAGGTTGCAATAAATTGAGTGACAGGAAAGACTTTCTATTCATTAAAGAAACCTGAAAATTGGATCATGGTTTCCCCAAAACAAAATGAAGCAGCACCAGTTTTCAGCATTGATGATAATAATAATAATTAGTGGTCAAGATTTTGCATTTTTCGGCACTCCGGACTTTTATTTTGACAGCGCTGAGAATGGCAGCGCCTGAGCAATGCAATTTTAAAATATATTAAAATAGGAAATAATTATTTTAAATCATAATAATAATAAACAATATTACTGTTTTTCTGTATTTTTCATCAAATAAATGCAGCATTGGTGAGCTTAAGGAACAACCCTAGACTTTTGAACAGTAGTGTGTATATTAGATATTAAGATATTTTTTTCTCTTAAGATAGTTTTTCTCTTTTGATTCTGTAGACAAAATATATGCTAGCTTTTATGAATAGTGTCCTATGTTTCAGGCATTTAATCACCCTCATATTGTTCCAAATCTGTATGACCAAACACAATATAAGATGGTTTGAAGAATGTTCACGCTGCTCTTTTTCATACATCACATCTATATAATGACAAGGGGCTGATCTAAGTAAAATCAAACTTCGTTATTCACTAAAGATCCTGCCCACATTTGTCATTTTTAGGGGCTGTTTGAAGGATAAGAATGCTAACTGTCTGTGTGCCGTCAGTAGAACTCTGGGAACATGATTACGTATTTTTCTGAATGATGCATCGTTTTGTTATATCTACTTTCCTCCTGTTGGGTGGTTGATTCCATGTAGCTTCTGGTTGCTGAATGCATAAAGGAAACGATATCTGACAACATAATCACATTGACATTGTGTGAGTGCATGCCATCTTGTATTACTTTCCCCTGGAAAGAATCGCTACTGTATTATTCTGTGAGAATTTCAAACCTATTATTGTGAAATATGAAAAGACTTTAGCGAGCAATTGTTTGCAACTAAAGACATGGTGAAAAGTGCTTCTCTGAAAAGCCATTCAAATGTGTTTCAGTAAGATGCATAATTATGTTTAAATAAAGAAACGTATTACTGCCGGGCCGTGAGAATGTGAGTGGCTACGTGTTTCTGTTGATTCTGACCATGTTCAGCAGTCTATGCCAACCCACAGTTCTCCAGATGTTGGCCTCTGTTGTATCGGACACAGCTCACATTGTATGTAGGATATTACACAACCGTTAGTTCTAGTCCTCTAATTTGATTGTCCAAGGGTGATGTACAATATATACAATATATACTCCGACTGACAGCACAAATAACCCAACACAAATCAAATCTCTGAACTGATAAGCCTTGTGGTTATTTCACCATTTTGTTCATCAAACTTATGGCAAACAAACTTGTTGGCCAATTTTTTAACATTATGGGAACAAGGTGTTGTTATGGTACATGTAATTCAGATACTAGAAAAAGTCCATTAAACATATTTCCTTCACGTTAATGTCAATATAGAGTGCTGCAGTGATGATCTATTTTTGCATGCCAAAAGTATTGTGACCGACAAAATTTTTATTCTTACATGTTTTGCTCATTATAATTTTCACAAATGAACACAACTTTTATGAATTTTGAAGCCTAAATACAATATCTAGAAGTAAAAAGCTAAACATAGGCTATAAACGATGATATTTGATATATTTTTTTTTATATTCTTTTATTTATTTAAAAAAGTTTGAGATAGAATACTTTGCAAGATCATGATTATAAACACAGTGAGGCTGTAAAAGTGGATTAGTGAATAGATGAGTTTACCTGTTCGGCATTATGACGATTAATGTCCCCGACAAGCTCTGTAGTCCCATTTAGCTATTTGCTTTACCAACTACCTTTTTCAAGGGAAGTAAAAACATTAAACAATAAATAAATAAACATTTCAACATAACCTGATACAAAAACTTGCACTTTGTTTGTTTTTGTTTTTTTGCGTGCATTTTATTCCAAAATCATCAGGTACATTAGCAAGCGAGCGTTGCAACGATGTAGTTTTTGACAGACAAAAGATGGAGTACCTGCCCTTGAAAAGCGCTGGGCGTGGTTAATTATTTACCGTCGTGAGGTCAATAGTGCTGTTGTAGTGAATGTCGGCACTCCCTGAGACCCTGTTCCTACAGACGAATCACAGCCATTCAGCACAATTGCGTGTGTGATATTGCATAGTTAGAGTGGCATCCAGAAAGGTTTTGGAGTGTTCCCTAATTTTATGAGAGAGGACAAAAGTAACATTATCTCCCCGTTTTTTTCTAGGCGTCACGTTTAGAGTGGATGGCAGATTTACTCATCCCTGTCAGACACGTGAGCATAGAGCGCCTCGAAAATTTGCTGCTGCATTTATCAGTTGCTTGGAATGGCTTTTGTGAAATTCCACGTCATATTTCACTGCTCTCTGACCTCCCACTAGACATGGTCGTAATCTACAAGTCTTCTACAATATTAATATGATGTCTGACAGTTCTCGGGTTCACCTATTACAGGGTTGGATGCACATGATGTGTCTCTGGATATTCACTGTAGTCTGTTCAAGGCCGCTGGTAATTAAGGGATGCAGTAAATTAAAAGATCATAGCTTTATGAGTATTATTCCTAGATAGTTTTATGCTGGGGCAAGCATTTCCCTTCTGGTGCTGTGTGTGTGTGTGTGTGTGTGTGTGTGTGTGTGTGTGTATGTGTTTTTTTGCTGTTTCTCTCTCTAATGATTTGCGTGACAATATTGGATTAATTCTGAACCGAAGTGTTCATGTTTATTTGCATTTTTAATTAGCACTTCTCGTGTGAAGATGTTAGATGCGTTGGGAGGGACTTCCCATGCGTCACCGCGCTGACCCTAGCAATAAGAGCGATGAGATGGTGACTGTAATTTTCACCTGACAAAGGTGCCCATTAGAAATGTTATGAATGAATGAATGAATGATGCATTTATATAGCGCTTTAGTGTGTATTGTTGTACACCCAAAGCGCTTTACAATCATGTGGGGGGGTCTCTCCTCAACCACCACCAGTGTGCAGCATCCACTTGGATGAGAATGGAGAAAAGCTGTTATGGAGTTATCGCATAACAGTTATCTCCTGTTATGGAGAAAAGCAGAATTTGCATAGTGCAATTAAATGCATTTTGCTTTAAAACGCTGCTCAACATCTGGAATTTATTTTTTTTGCTCAGTAAGCTCGAGGCTTTCGGTGTTCCTATTTAATCTTACTTAATTTATTATTTAATCTATGTGGGTAAATATGAATTGTGTATGGGCAACAGGCAGGGCTACTTGTCTCTGGAAGGATTTGAATATTTATCGCATAAAGCAGCAAAGATTGATTTGAATGTTTATCGCATAAAGCAGCAAAGATTTAGGGCACATGAGCACAGCTTCAGAATGCCAGAGCAGGCCTGTGCCGGACTTTATTAGACTGGTCTTCTGAGATCCTGAGATTTGACCATTTTAAATTGGCTGTCAAAATCACAAAGCCCATCAGTTCGCAAACAGCTATGAATTCGTTTTTAAGCAATGTGCAGTTTATCAGAAGACAAACTGGGCTGAATACAATGAATATA